GAAACTCTAGTGACGTAAGTACGTATTTTTTGCAATAAACAGGTGCGTATTTCTTAATACCAATGGATATTCCTTTCAGACGTTTACACAAAATGAAGTGCATTGATTGCGGACATATTTGGGTATAAAGGCGCAATTATCTTATCCTTGTGAAAGAAATGCCGTTTCGTACCAATTAATTGATGCTCTAAAACTTTCTAATTGAAAATTTGCTCTATCTCTTTTCGTTTTCGATTTGCAACGCCTATCTTCCAGATTTCGTCACTAGCGGCGCTGTGCCGTTTGCATCAGGTCGGGCATAGTCGCTTTACTATACCGTTACCTCACTTGCATAGCTGTAGCTCTCTCCGAACGCAAGAATTTTCAGGTTAATGGGCCTTTGTGCACCCTGTATAAATTCCGTCATTTACTGCAATGTCTTTTTGTCGGGGGTACAAAAGAGAAGGGATGGACACAATTTAAATTGTAAGAAACTTCCTTTTCTACCTGCCCCCCCCCCGTAAAATTAATTCTCTTAATGCTATTTTATTTTTAAAGAAAATTTACTAATGAAAAATATATTCAAGAAATAAATAACTCGGAAAAAAAAGTAGTGTATTGCAGCAGAACCCACTTAAAGAGTTTTCCAAGAGACTGTAATGAACGATTTCATAAACGAGATAATTTTTAAATTACAGTTACCTACAAAACAGCTTATTAACAATATAATATCGAATTTATAACTTTAATAATTATTTAGAAATTAAATCCTTGTAGTTTTATTTTTTAATTCAATTTAAATTATTCTTTCTTTCATGTTCAGCTAAATTAGTATTTTGTAATTTAATTCTTTTTAATTTTAATTTCAACTAAATTAGTTTAGAAAGTAGTTCATTAAATTTTGTTTAAATATGCAAAATAAAGCAAAATTATCTGCAACTTCTTATGGATTTTAATGCATTTTCTTAAAATATTAATGAATTAATTTTGTGAAAAAAGCATTTAATGTCTCAGGAACAGATTTACCATTCAAAAAAAGATAGAAAACTGAACTAATAGTCTTCGTTTTCATATTCTAAGTGTTTCCTTTTGTAAAAGCGAGATGTATGAAAATGGACCGAAACTTTACAGCCTTTTTCGTCACCTTAAGTAGTTAATTTGCCTAGGTATATTACTAACCATTATGACGACTGCAAGTGGCATGTTGTCAAAAGAGAGCCATTAAGAAAACCAGACAAAAGGCACCATTAATTTAAAATCAAAATTGTTTATTTCCATTTGTAAAGTGCTTTCGATAAAAATTTCTTTGAAAAAAATAAAAACAAAAATAAAAACTGTTTTCTGAAAGAAGGAAAAGTTTCTCGAAAGATTCATGAAAATTTAAGAGGGTAAATCTCTCAACGTAAAAGATTCTACGCGAGAAAATTTTTTAATATTATCAAAATAAGGGAACATTTCGGATTTAGTGAAATAAACATCTTAAATGAGTTTTACTGCATATGCTACTTGCTAAACAAGTGTTCAGCTTCTCAAGGTCGCGGTTAATATTGTCATTCGAATATTGTTATCGAATTGCCAATGTCCTGGCGGTATGTATACGAAAACATGAAAAATGTATCGCTTATTGTGATCAACAATTCAGTTATACGATCAGAATATTATAGAATAAATATTCTAAACAGTAAATCTGTAAAGTAAAATCTTCAAATAAGCTCAAAATAAAGTATGAAAGTTGCCAAGTGACAGGTGAAGTGTCGCGAAATAAAGGATTAAGTGGCAAAGCAACTTGGTTTCCATTTTAGTCAACCATTTGAAATAAGGGGAAAGAAATAACTTAGGTTTATGTAGACATTTTTTAATTAAAAATCTACACAAATTTTGATTTCGAGGGCGATCAGACATACATTTCGAGGGCGATCTATATACATGACAATGACATACATTTCGACAGCGATCAGAAACACATTTTGATTTCGAGGGCGATCAGACATAGATTTATCTTCTTCAGAAGAAAAAAAGAAGAAAAAATATTCTGCAGAATTTTTTTTTTTTTTTTTTCGAAAACATCTACGTCAAACTAAAGTTGCTTTATTCCTTTTTAATTTTGCAATAGCATATTCTCTTACAGTGAAGAATGCTGAGTATTAAGATCAGGAGCATACCAACGATGAAATAATTTCACAAATGAATTTTTGCTTCTTTTGTAATTAAACTGCTGTGACAGTACCTATTTATTTGCTTTTAGACATATTTAAGTTAAATTAGTCATATTTCATGGTATTTTGAAGGATTTGTTTTCTCTCATCGTTTAAAGTTATCATTCGGTTAATATTACCAAAGTAGCCGCGGAAAAACGTGATTTAAGTACCTCCTACAAGCTAATACCTGCCTAGTAGGTAATGTGCAGATCACCTAGATATTCCGCATATTACTCCGCATTCCGCATTATTTCACTTGAATAAATCACTCACTTGAAAAATAATTATTTCACTTGAATAAATGCATTTATTCTAGTGAAAGAATTATTTTTCAAGTGAGTGATATTATTTATCTTTGCTCGAATAGCAGCAATATGGGTTTAAATTAATATTCATCAGACAAGCAGTTCAACCATGTTAAGCAATGCTAATTACAGAAACCACTAGACCTCTATTGATTACAATTATAAGTAATTTCATATAATAATCAGCAGATTGTAAATGAAATATATTCGCAATTGTTGAAACATAATAATATCTATTTTCTAATTAATGTGATGCAATGATCAACAAATAGTAAATAGAAATTACTGAAACAAAATGCTATTTACTGAACTTTTGATATCTAAAGAATCAAGTTGACAGAATCTGTCAATCAACAGAAAAGCTAACAAAAAAAAAAAAAAAAAAAATCATTCAACAAAGTAGAATACAAAGAATCAATTTTAATGATTGAGGACATTTTGAATTTCATAGCCTTGCCTTTTGCTCTAAGCACACCCATTCGTAGCACATTTAGATTAGCAGTCACAATACTGTCCAGTGCCAAAGGGTTAATTTACTATGCAGGAAAGTGGAAATGAAAACAGAAAGAGAAATGTTTCCACGATAATGATTCGGTTAAGTTCACATTACCTACGTAAAGTGGGATTTTTTTTTTTGAAGATCATTGCACATGTCAAGGGAACAAATAATCTGCTGATTAACTAATTAATGTCAATAGTTTATATATAATTATGAAAAATTTGAGAAAAAGGGGTTGGTTCAAGATCGTATTATTCCCTTATTAAATGCAAATCTTTTCTTTTCTTGGAAAACTTTTTCATAAATGCAGCACTGTCTCACATGTTCGTTTAAATGAATCACAGTTTGCCTAAGCTGCGTTAATCAAACCAGAGTCAGCATGTGTTGTTTGCAGATGCAAGTAGTTGTTACATTGCAGGTACGGTATGCTGTAGATTTCCCACTTCATGGAATACAGGATCTGTTTAAAAGGATCACCATTTTACAAATTATTATAGCAAGTAATTTCATTGGCTTATATTTACTGGCCGCCGCCCAGTTGGTATAATAGTTAGGGTAGCCGATTGCAATATCTAAGGGCCCGGGTTCGAATTATGAAGAAGCCATGGTTGTATTTGTCCGACCCTTCATAAGAGGCAACCACCTATTTGGTGCTTCCATAATAAAGTGACCACCGATTCTGGCCTTAGTATAGTGGTCAAAGTTTGTGGACGGTTGGGCCCGCTATTAGAAAAAAAAAAAAAATATTTACCTGGCGTAACCAAATTAAACTTTAAGAGAATGCGGAATATAAAGATCGCGAAAAAATCCTGAGCTTATATTTTTGTATTAAAAATGTCTTCAAATTCTTTAAAATCAAGCAAAAGAAATCGTATAATGGTACATTAGTTATATCAGCAGATGTAAAATTTTGTTTTCAGTACTATTCATAAGTGAAACCAGGAGTTCCGAAATCTCCTAATCCATTTATCTCGAAATGGATATTTTCAATGATCTGTAAATTTTAATTTAGAGGATGTATCTAAATTTCCTCACACATTTACATACACGTATTTTCTATACATTTCACTTGTTCATTTTATGCAAACTGTCTTCAGAATTTTCAATTTTGAGCAAAATATTTGAAAATATTTCCGTCAAAATAAAAATCAGTCTAAAAATATGGTTATTTTTACAATTATTAAAAAGTTAATAATGCATAATTTTATAAGTTTTGAAGATAAATCGAAATAAATACTTTTAAGTGTACAAAAAGAAAAATTTATGCAAATTGCTCATGGTTCAGTATATAAATCAATTATAAACGCTTTAAAGATTGTTTTTAAATACAATTTTAAACTGCTGAAGAATATTTCTTATGCAAAACGATTTTCATTAAAAAGGTGCGAAATTATGCTAGATACATATATTTCAGGGAAAATATTTATTAAAAAGTATTTATAAATAACAACGAATTGTGTCTCGGATTCCTTTAACCATCCAAGTTTCTTCTCACATCTTACAGGTATTCTGAGACCATTTTATACACATACACACAACTAAGTTACACATCCAATTTATAATCTATTTTGAAGCGTATCCAATATGACTGATGCGATGGCATGGATAATATGGAATTTGAGTTCATCATTCCCGAATGGCAACAATGAAATAAAGAAAAGAAATCGCAAAGAATAAGACCCTGCGAATTAACAGATTAGAGGAGGAATGCAATGCCATTCTCTCCTTTCGAATGTCTGATTTTAAAACTGATTTGAGTATAAATCCAGTGACAAAAGGATCAGACATGTAGCATCTGTATCGTATGATACGAAACTTGGATAGTTAAAGTTTAACTTGATGCTTAAAAATTGATAAATATGTGCTGTAACGATTGATAAATATGTGCTGTAACGATTGATAAATATGTGCTGTAACGATTGATAAATATGTGCTGTATCTCTTTGCTGTAACGATTTGTAACCGAATGATTCTTTTTGACTCACCTACGATATTCATATCTTTTACACACTATGACAGGAAAGAGTGGTAGGATTTCAGATGCTGGTGCCATATTCACCAGGGAAATTTACCAAACCGAAGATGACTGCTTCCCAAGACACTATCCATACAAATCGTCGAAAAAGGAAGAAAAATGGCTCGAAAATTCGTAGAAAAACACAACCGTTGGCTATCAAACAGAATGACAGAAAGACGAAGAAAAGTAAGAAAAATAACGTCACTCGTGTTTGTTGTCGAATCTGTTGGGACACAGCTACAGAACTGAAAAAACAAGGTATTTCCATGCACGTGACAATATGTGGTCATGTCTTATGTGCGCTCTGCTTGCTAAAAGTCGGACGCACCTGCCCCTGCTGCCGAACAGAAATCACATATCCTGTGAGACCTCTGTATCTTGAATAAAAATTAGTTTCTCTTTTAACCTTTGCATCCAAATTATTTGAGATGTCCAGAACGTTTTCGTAAATCTCCACAGATAATGAGTTGAAACTACCTTTATGCGTAACCGAAGAGCTATTTTCAGCATAAATCTAAGCAGAAAATACTGCTGATATATTATTCGATGGCATTTCTCAGCAGCAGTGCCCCATTCTCGAGAATTTTTTCCCTTTTTTTCCCTTCTTCTCCTGTCTCCTTTGAATTGGTTCAATTTCCTCTAATATTACAACAACGATACATTAGGTGTCTTTCGTATGCAATCTGTAAACATTTGCTGAAAATGCTTAAAACTTTTAAGGTACTCATTGTACTTACACTTTATTAAAAGCATTTGCTGAAAACGCTTAACTTATTGAATTTCACCAAATTATTAATTAAAATTCATCACGCCATAAAAAAAGAATGGTAACAATTAAAGACTTTTCAAAGCATTTATAGTAATGAACCCCTCAGAATATACTTAGACACCTGCCACAACACACGTATTTGTACACAGGGTATCTCAATGTAAGATTTACAGACTTGTAGGAAGCACCCAGACGACTCGGAATCGCAAAGCATTGGACACAACAAAATGACAAGCAGATGTACATAGAAAAATCCAGAAGTGGAAGAATACCACGAAGTGAATAAATGCACAAATGGAATTTCGAATATTTTGGAAGATTTCAGGCATCTGAGTACCCTAGGAGTTATTGCATGCAACCGGTTCCTCGGGGCTGTGAACGGGGTGTCATATACCAATATTTCCATATGTTCCCACAAGAAGTAATTAAAATATAATAGGTGCGGGGACTGAACGAGTCAAACCACTGGCGTATCACGCCCGATTCACAATCGGCTAAATGTAAGACCCGAAGATAAAGCTGCTGAGACTACAATTAAAATCCTTCAAAACTTAGCCAAGAAGTCAACGAACCTCACAGGTAAGTGTAATTTAACTTGCACTAGAGGCATTGCTCACCCTAAACGTAAAGCCGATGCCCTTAAGACTAAATGCAAAAGTGCTAATGTTGAAAGTTCAAATACTGATAGCGAAGGTTTTTCGATTAGCCACTAAAACTGCTACTAATGACCTTAAAATTGATACCATAAGTCTATTCAAAATAGAAACAAATTGCATGTGTTGAATACTAAAAACGTTAATAATCGGAATAATGAAACCCCAGCGGTTCAAGTTGTACAGCAGCAGCCAAATTATACCCCGCCCATCATGGTTAATCCTAGCAGTCTATCACATGAGGAACTTTTGAAAAATCTGGCTAATAGTACTGATGTTAAGTTTCTGGAGAAACTTAATGGAGAGTTCATAAAGATTCTTCCTCATATTGAAAATGATCATCGTGTACTTAATGCTTTATTTAAAGAACATGGTGTTGAGCATTATGTATAAAATGCCAAATATACTGAACCCAAATATGCTGAACCCATGATACGTAGCTTAGCCACGTATCATAACCTTTATGGATTTAAAATTAATGTTTCTGAGAAACATTAATTTTGCGCTTACTGAACGTGGATTTACTGTCAGTAAACTCACCCAATTGACCAGAAGGAAAATACAGGCTCTCGTGCCTTTATTCATGGTTGAACTTGTTAAAAATGAGAATACGGGAAAAAAATCTTTGAACTAATAGATCAACTATACTTCTCCAAAACTGTAACAAAATATATAACCAAGAAGAAGTGCCGCAGTGCCATAACTGCCAACGATTTCACCATTCCTCGAACAATTATCATTTTCAACCTCCATGTGTGAAACACAAAACAATGGACTGTCGAGAAAAAGGAAGGACTGAAGAACCCAAATGCAGTAACTGCCCACGTTGCCTCCTATTGTGGGTGTATTAAATTCCTTAAAAATAAGCAGAGCCAGGCAATCTCATAAGCCAAAATGGCCAAAACACAGGCTGCTACACTGACACCAAACACCAATGCTACTAACTCCAACTCGGCTACTACTGTACCTGCCAAGTTGCTTAAGAATTTTAATAGTAACAGCAGTAAATTATTTAAAACTAGCAGCTACGCGGCCAGCCTTCGTCTGGCTTTTAAATCTACCGGAAAAATGCCTAAAGGGAACACGAAACGTTTAATTTAAAACTGCGCACAATTTTACTTTGCAGAACATCTTCATTGGGAGGGGGGAACCACAAATTTTAAAAAAAGTATTACATATAACAAAATTACAAAGAAATAAGCAATATCCTATAATACAAATATTAATTATCCTAATAAATAAATTAACCAACTTCTTGCAAAATCTTAAGAATTCAAATGGTATAAAGCAAGTTAAGAACTCTGTTTCCTATAAAAATCATGCACAACTTTTTTATATAATTAAAATTATGTACAATTAAAACATAATATACGAAAACTGTTGCCAAAACCACATTTCTGAAAGAATGAAACTATCATCAGAAAGCAATAATCAATCAAAATTGTGCTTTGTGGATGACATAATTTAAAATATACAAACCTCTTTGCCATTAGCTAATAAAGAGAGAGGCGGGAAAGGAAATTCTTCTTGTTGTGCCTCGCGAGACACATGCGCGTCAAAACACGAAGTTTGCGATGTGCGTGTTGCGTGTCCAAAAATCAAAAGAAAAAAAAAGCAGCATTTTATCTCATATTTTCAACAGTCGCAGACTGAATGAAAAACTGTTGCCAAAACCACATTTCTAAAAGAATGAAACTATTCAAAATGATGCAATAAAATCAAAAAGATAAAATTAAAAAAAAAAAAAAAAAAAATCTGCTTCGAATTCTGAAAAAAATCGCTTCGAGGTGCACTGGCTCGTCTAGATGCACCTATGTACCAAATTTCGTAGCCCTGGGTCTATTAGCTTACGCGCAGCACGAACGAAAGACACACAGACTTTTCTTTTATTAAATGTAGAGAAGAGATGTATCCAATACTAATTATATGAATGGTAAAAATCAAATTTTTGAATTTCTTACTCGAAACAACCATTTACCTGGAAATTGCTTATCAAAATTGCTTATACGCACTTTGTGTATAATTGCTGTGGATTAAGTAAGTGCCTGGTTAAGTCAAGAATGTGTGTGTGTGTGATTATGGCAAAGCCTCGAGGGCTATCTGCCTAAGGGGAGGGATGCCTTCGTGGAGTACTTTCTAAGGTAAACTGGCTCGTATACACGTTATACATGGGGAAATCACGAAAACGTCCATGCAGCCAGCCCGTTAGCGGGATTCGAACCTCCTAAGTCAAGAATGATTATCGCTTCCGGATATTTGTGTTATTACACCATTTCTTATTCCACTATACCACAAAGCAGCTAACGTAATTTACTGTTTAAGACTCCCAGAAGTCGTGCACCAGCAGAAAAGTGAAGTTCAAAGTTCAAGTTCAGGTCAAGTACATGAATGAATTAAATGAAATATTTGGAAACGATAGGATTAAAGTTATGAATAATGTATTCAAAAATTATATGCCTAAGCTAAAAGTAGCTAGTGATCTTATTGATAAAATGCATATTTTTCTTGAAATGATGAATTAAATTGACAATTATGATAGCCTAATAACGTGTATGCATTCAGGATAGTTACATAGAATGCAAATGGTCTTATCCGTAGAGCATATGAGCACAAAGAATTCTTACATGACTTAGTTTTTATACAGGAACATATGCTTGATCCGTATAACGATTTCAAAGCCAGTATAACCGACTGACTTTGAAATTGTTAAGTAACTTTGTAGAAACATTAGGTTATTTCGAGGTCGGAGAGTTGAAAAATTAGCAACCCCTTCTCCGGGAATCGAACTGTGGTCCTCTGGAATATGCACTCAGCGTGCAGACCATCACACAACGAAGGCACGCCAAGAAGGCGGGAGAAATACTTTATATACTCCCTCTTTTAAAAGGCGACTGGGTCTTTTAAGGGGACACAATCGCAAAATCCTGGGTGGGGAGAATCATCATCCACCACCCTTTTAGTTCGGGCGCCACTGTAGAGATATTAGGTTATTTTTACGAAGCAGGCAAGATGAAAAATCAACAACGCCTTCGCCGGGAATCGAACCGCGGATCTCTCAATTACGCGATGAGCGTGCAGACTACTACACCACGAAGGCTTGCTAAGAAGGCGGGAAAAATACCTTATATACTCCTCCTTTTAAATGGCGACTGGGGTTTAAGGGGATCCAATCGCCAAATCCTGGGTGAGGAGAATCATCATCCAACACGCTTTTAGTTCGGGCGCCACTGTAGAGACATTAGGTTATTTCGAGGCCGAAGAGATAAAAAATTAGCAACGCCTTCGCCGGGAATTGAACCGCGGACCTCTGGAATGCTCGCCCAGCGTGCAGACCACCACACCACGAAGGCGGGAAAAATATTACTTGGCAGATACAGCAGTAGCTGACTTCATCCCTATAACGATTTCAAAGCCTTTCAACTATGCGAAGCACAGATTACATAGACCAACTGAAGGCAGATACGCACTTGGGAGGAATGCCCTAGGTGAATTGCTTATTCTAGTCAAACGCTCCATTTCTCATTACCTCACAACACTTCCACCGCTCTTAACTGTCGAAGCCTTAGTCTTCACAATCACTTTTATCTCCACCTGTATACCAAATAATATACATGTAGTAGATGTGTCTTCTGATTTGCACGCGCTACTTAACACTAACAATTGAGTTATTCTAGGTGGAGATTTTAACGCTCACCGCCGCGTTTGGAACAGCAATTCTATTAAAAAAATAGACCAACTTGCCCAATCAGCCAATATTTTAATTGTAGCTCCGGGTAAAACAACACACTACAGCTTCGGTAGGCCCAAAATTATTGATTTCTTTCTGCTGAAAATATTAGTACTCCTACTTTAATTGAGAGCATGAATGAACTTTCTTCGGATTATAATCCGGTTACGGCGGAGATCAGCATTTACAGCTACAGTACACCGCACAGAAGAGCCCTTATTACTAACTGGGCAGGATATGCCAATGCTCTAGACAA